AAAAAAAAAGTGAAGTTTTGTTGAAATCAGTTGAAAAATATAGGAAATCCGATCCCATATATAAACGAACACACACACACAAACACAACGGGGGATTTATAATAAGTATAACTCGATATGAGTTGTCCCCCTTTCATTCTCGCAACAGCGATGCCTCTTAATCGTGTTTTCAAATTGATTTCATGCAAAAACAATTGTGTTTTTACAATTTTTGGCGCTGTCAGAACTACCAAAATGTAATTTTACGTAGTCCTGTGAATTTTTGTTGATATCGGTTGAAAAATGTAGGAAATCCGATCCAATATATAAACGTACAGACACACACACACACACACACACACACACACACACAACCTGGGTTTTATAATAAGTAAGATTTCCTTAAAGCAGCGATAACTTCAATGAGTCTCTCAGAAGCTTTACCAATCAAAATCCGGAAACCCAACCACAAATGGAATTGTTGGTGCTTTCAAGTACCAATGTTTTTTAATTCTGTATTTTGATATATTTTTTTAAATATCTTCAAAGCTATAACACAGTCCGCAGGAAGTTCGACGTCTATAAGAAATCAAATTTTGTTTTTTTTTTAGTATTTAATCACTATGTCTAGGTGATTAGATTTCATGTCTCGAGCAGTGTTTATTGGAAATGTAAACTTCCATTTTTATGTTACAGGTTCGGTGTCCGTAACCGGGTCTGAGTGATGTTCATACGAATTTCCTCTAATTTCCTTCCCATAAAAGTTTCAGATTTTTCAATGCATTTTTGCCCCACCCTGTGAGGCCGTGTTTCATAATCGGTGGTCGCTAATATCGAGTTCATAGCCGTTTCTTGCAGTTTCCTTCACGTAAAAGTGGCATATTTTCCAGTCCAGTCCGCTCTATCCTGCCGAGTTTCATATTCAGTGGGTGCTAACACTGTGCAACAAGATCGTCAATTGTTCATGGATATTCATCACAGAATCTGCATTTGGGGTCAACACAATATTTCAGTTTATGAGCTTGGTATGATATCTGGGATATTATCTTTAATTGTTTTGTCTGTGTGTGTTGTAAAGTTCCATCAAAATGTTACAGACCCTATCTCTATAACCAAGTCTGGGCAATGTTCATATCAGTTTCTTTTCGCTTCATTCCCGTAACAGTTGCACATTTTCCAGTGCAGATATTGGCCCACTCTATCATGCTATATTCAGTGGGTGCTAACTCTGCGCAACAAGATGCTCAATAGTTATTATGTGATTCTGGCAACAAGAACTGGTACTACTGAAAGCAATGGAGGCATTTGTATAGAAACTTAACTCTCCAAGAAAAAAATAAATCCAACCTTTCATTTTTTTTGTATCAATAAACACTGTAAATCACATATCCCCACCCCAAAAGATTTTCTCTTAAATTTTCTAAATTTTAAAAGGAGGGGGGTGATTTTGCTATGTAAATTCATTGTAAATTGATCCCCCAGAGCAAGCCAAAAAAAAAAAAAAAAATATATATATATATATATATATATATATATATATATATATGCTTATACCTTGTGATAAAATATATTCTTGTTTAAAATTTTTAAATAATTTCAAGTTAAAATAAAAGTTAATACTGATATTACTTAAAGCATATTTAACTTTTTCACAGCTTGCAGTAAAACAATGCCGACATATAAAATTTCAAATATTAGGTTGGTGCAAAAATAATGTCGTTTTTTGACGTTCAACTTAAATAAAAAACGACATTATTTTTGCACCAACCTAATAATTTCAAAATATCCACAAATTTTTGAATTCAAAACACCTTATTTACCTTTCCTTCTAACACAATTTTTTTTTTTTTTGGGGGGTAGGGTAATTGGGAAGGGATCAATTTATAATTACTTTACATTGCGAACTGAACTCCTCTCTTAAAATTTAGAAAATTTAAAAAAAAAAATATTCATAATCCTGAGCTTAATAAAAATAGGAACAAAAAAAATTTGAAAAAAGAGAGGAAAAGCAATGGTTCATGAATTTAGTGATATTGTAATTGTGAGTTCAATCCCTGGGCCAGGTAGTGTGTACTTGGATAGAGTGGAAACAAGGCAAGCAATAACTGAGCATTATTAAAAATAAGAACAAGATGATATATCCCTAGACATGGGCAGTGGAATGTGAACGTTCTGTCCTGGTAGATAATAATAATAGTGGCTTCAGTTCAGAATTCCCTGTAGATGACTCAGATCAATATATCTCTGATGAAGGCCGGAGAGCACAAAAGCCGAAATGTTGTGATAACAAAGATGACGAAAATAGTCCTAATGTAAATAGTGTAAATAATGACAACTCCTCATTCCAGAAATTCAGACATAACAAAAAGAAGTTGGAGAGAGCCTTAACCACCCATGTCCTGAAGGGATTTGACACATAAAAGAAATTGGTGCCGCTTTAGTATGTAACCTACTTAATGGATTTGTGTGAATGGATAGCAGAACCACAAATTGGGATGGGAATGGCTCAAAAGTAACTTAGAACAATAACAAGAAATGAAATTGGGCATGACTGATCATGTATGGAGAGATAAGGGTAGTCACCAGCCCCTATAGAATGAAGTGAGAATACTGGACAAGGAACATTAGAGAGACATTTGAAAGTATCAGTGCATATGCTAAGCTATGAGGATCTTCTAAGTAGGCCTAGAACATAAATAAATATAATATGGGAGACACTAACAAGAGACAAATGACAGCAATTCTGCAACAGCAGCAATACTAATCAGCAAAGTTAGGTTTAAGGCTCCACTCCAAGATAAGACTTTTGACCCTTATTGCATATAGTGATTTTCCAAGCGTAGCTTAGATGTGGCACAAGGCCGAACGTATGGGGCACCCAGTGAGGATCGAACTCACTATTCAGTCGTAATTGTTCTCGCGAGACAAGCTTTCTAACCATTCCACCACCTCGAGGTTCTCTACCCTTATATGGTAAAATCGAATTTTAGGTTTGGGAGCGACTTTTTTCAAGAACTAAAACCAATTAATGCCTTTTTCATTATTTTTAAACAAAAGTTCATCGATTCATGACAGAGGAACATAGTGTTGCAAAAAAAGTCATAAACCTAATGAATATGGATGTAAATTTACTGTGGGAGAGTCAGAAATCAGTACACTTTCTATACATTTGCTCCTTAGTAAATTAATTACTATTTTAATTAAAACTGTATTCATTGTGTCGAAATTAAAATTAAAGCATGTAATGTGTTGTTTTGTAAAATAATTCTCCTGTGTTCATATATTCTTTTATTTAAATTCCTCCCCGATGTATTTCTCGTGGCATATTTTACAGTCTATTGTGTATCAAGTTTTACATCGTTATTATTTACTACCAATAAGAAGCTTTAGTCAGATGAAGGCCTTTTGAAGACGAAACACGTTTCATATTTTTTATTTTGTCATTCAATTACCCACCATTACTCTGATATAAGGAGTTCATATATCATATTTCTCGTACATTTCCGCTACTAGGAAAACTGTTTCACTTTGTTGTGCTAGACAATCTTTCTTCCCAGAATATATCTTACACATTTATAAGTCTACCATTCGTCCATGCATTGAAGAATCCTCAATTTTATTGGTATTGACCTGGCATCTCGACCTCAGCCACTTACTCCGACCTCGCCGTAATATAGGTTCCCCGTGACTTTTTCTATAAATATTTTCATGGTAATTGTTCTGTTCTGCTTTCGACTACGGTACGTAGACATTATGAATTTAAGCGTACTACTAGATTGACAGCAACGTGTCATCATCTTACAGTTGAAATGGCAAGATGTAACCGTAAGTTCTACGCTAACAGTTTCTTCTCAGGCATTTCTCACTTGTGGAACTCTCTTCCAGCTTCTTACTTTCCAGTCAAATATGATCTTCAAAAATTTTAATGCAATGTCAATTGTTATCTTCCGTCTTTTTAATTCTACTTCTTTTATTGTTCCCTCCTTAATAATAATGTTTCTTTTTCTTGTATTCTCTCATACTCAGAACCCCTTGCGACTGAGTGGCTTTATTGCCTTGCATGGAGTGAAATGATTAAAATATATTATTATTATTATTATTATTATTATTATAATTAGTCAGATTACTCTTCTGTTGTTATAGTATTATTACGATAATGTTCCCCTTTTTTCTTATCCTTTCATTCTCGGTAACCCCTTCTGACTTAATGACTTTACTGTCTAGCATGGGTAGAAATATCTAATATATATATATATATATATATATATATATATATATATGAAGAAAAGATGTGCTATATTTATGGGATAAAGTGCTCAATATCAGAGATAGGTGTGTAAATATAAAAGTGAACATAGAAGTCAACACTTAGAGGCGACAGTCTGTTTCATGCTAGATGCAATCGTCAGGCCTGACGATTGCGTCTAGCACGAAACATACTGTCGCCTCTAAGTGTTGACTTCTATGTTCACTTTTATATATATATATATATTCCGGTTCTGTATCCTTAATAATGTTTATTTTCTCAGATTTTCCCCACACCCCACACACTTGCTTCTTAGTGGCTTTATTGCCTTGCTTTGGGTGAAATGCTTTAAAAAAATATTATTTATTAAGAACATTTAGACGAAGTTCTTTTGAAGAAAGAAACAGGTTACATAGATTTTTTTACATTTTGTCATTCAATTACCCACCATTAGCCTGATATAAAGAGTTTAAATATCATATTTCTTGTAGATTGTTTCAAGTACAGCCATAAGAGAGCGTGCTGAGAAGTTCTCGTCTCGGCTGATTGAAAGGATTAAAAGATAATTCCAATCGTTTGTCAGATTTTGAGCAACTGGCCGAGCAGGGAACTTTTCAGATCCCACCCCACTTTTTTGCATTATTTTCCTTCCTGTCTTTTTCACCCTTCTGTTAATTTCGGTCTGTCATCCAGCAGAGCTGACCATTCCCCGCCTCCCAACAAATATTACGTCTTCTTATCTACCTATCTATCATCTATCTATCTATCTATCTAT